TTCTCATGGTCGGCGTCCTGAAGACAATCACTCCGATAAGGATATTTCCAATCAGAGAAACAAAAAATATGAGGAAATAAGAAGATGTTTTTCCAATCTTTTCTGCTGTGGGATTAATGCAGCTTGGTGGCTGTGTGTTATTCATCGTTGTACTCAAGTATGCCAAAATAGTAGCGGGGGCTTGCCTTTCTATTGCAGTGATCTCGCATACGTTCTCGAGGAGGTTCTCGAACACTTCTGCTTGTATTTACGAAAATCTCTCTTGTAAAAGGAGTGCTGTTTTGCATCCTTATTTTATATACTTGCGTCAGCGTGAGGTTGGCCCTTGTAAGAGACCTCTTTAACATGTCGGAAGTTTAAAATTTGTCATTTTGAAAAACAAACTTCATAACGAGGAGTACGGCTCAAGGGGTTGGTTACTAAAATTGCTAGTCAGTGCATCTTAAATTGATAAAATTTACGAACGCTCTAAGACTCGAGGTATAGTCACAGCTCAGCTCACGTTTTTGTGTAATTTCTTCGGATTTGGAATGACAGCGTCTTCACCCATAAGCGACCTTGCAATATTCATTGGCGGAGGGCTGCTTGTTTCAATTCTGGAAGTTGAATATTTAGGCGGACTTTTTTCCGATATTTATATAGTTCTAATAAACCTCGTTACCTGATTCGTTGTTTGTATGACTGAAGTTTTTGACACTGCTTAAGGAAAAGACAAAATGATAGATTTGCGAGAACTCATCGCTCAGTTTTGCAATGTACAAGTCGTTCGGAAATTGCAATCCCTTGGTAATTACTTTTTAGAAATTTTGAGGCATGGAAGATTAAAACCCTCTTAAGAGGTAAACTGACACAATTGGCTGTATTGAATCGCTCAGCGTGGTGGGAGCAATGGATACGTAATTGCGTGCCAAATGAAAATTCTCTTTATATCTTCGTCTTTGCTCTTGCTTTAAATTCCTCAGTGTAGTTACTGCACCCTTGTAAATATATTTTTTACTGCAGTTGTTCCCTGACACTGATTTTTTTTCCCCACTGGTTAATGGTATCCTGAAATTAAAATGTATCAAGAGAGACCATTTAGAAAGCTCTCTGAATTTGTCATTAAATGCAAAAAAAATAAAGAAAAAGAAGCAAACGATAAGCAAAGCTCGTAAATCTATTGTGCACACCGAAGAGTGATCTTCTCTATTTATTCTGCGCGTTGTAAACATATAACCCTTCTCATAAAGTGCTCTCAATCGAAAAAAAAAAATTGTCGTTTCGGTTCGTGCCGAGCTTTTTTATCTTTGAATTTGAACATTGACGAAAAACGAGAAGAGTTAACAGAATCTGGGGAACACGTGCGTCAAATTTGCACATTAAGCACACCAAAGGAAAAAACTGCGTGATATACGACCACTTGTTTCAAGTCAATTTTATATACTAAGTCAATAAACCTCGCAAGTTGTCTTGCTTGTATGCAAGCTTACCACAATTACACCGCAAAAGTTTTAATGTACCGGAAAAGTTTTAATCTACCAGAAAAGTTTTAATGCACCGGAAAATTTTTAATGCACCGGAAACATTTTAATGCACGCAGGAAGTGTAATTACAGATGGTAATGACGAGTTTCCAATGAGCGAAATCATTTTATAAGCAAAGTTGTTTCGTGTATTTTGCTTTGTGTTTTATTTGTTTCTATGGATTGAAAATTCTACCAGGGGTGCTCGATTAAAATTATGCCTAGGAGGTAATACGGTAAAGGTACCTTGCACAATTTGTCACAAAAAGAATTAAATTTTGAAACTGGTTTTGTCCACAGGTTACCCAGCGTCCTGCTACGGCTGGTGCCCTGTTCAAAGGTTCAATGATAGCTCTTGTGGAGAAACTAGCTGCAAAGGTATTTTTTGTGTGTGTGCTCATTACTCTGATGCAATCCTCAACGAAATTGGATGTGATTGATGTATTTGAAAATCTTCCTTCTTTTCTATTTCAGAAACCATTTTATGTCCGATGCATCAAGCCAAATGACGTGAAGTCGCCATCGCTTTTCGACGAGAAACGAGTCGGTCATCAGGTAACTAAGCCATAAAATCAGAAATACGAATGAGGCCCAACCTACTTGTTGTTTTTATCATTTGGAAGGCAATTAATGATTTGGCTGGACAATCAGAGCACTAGACTCCGGGTGGAGAGGTCTGGGCTCGAGAGGTTTGGGCTCGAGACCTGGCCGAGTCAAGGGGTCTTGGTTCGAGACCTGGCCGGGTCAATGTTTTGTCTTGTTGGGCGAGACACCCAGGAGTAGAAATGGATACTAGCAAATTGACAGGGAAGCCTCAGGAAATGCTGGGGTAGGGGGAGTAACCTTGCCATGGACTGGCTTCCGATTTAGGTTTAGATTTATGATTTATTTAGCTTCGCCAACCGGCAGGGACATCGCAACAGCTTGCGGGCCCAATAAACCCACCATCCCACCCCAGGGGAGGACATCCATCACACAGTAATCTCGTGTGTGGGAAATTAATGTCTCCTACCCCAATCCTGCAGGAGACGGGACCTCCATTTATTCGTCCCTATCGGAGAAGACTAGAATATCTAACCATTTCTTGATGTTATAGAAAGGTAGCAAATTCTTCTCAATTATTTTAAGACCCTGATTGTTGGTCCGGCCGGGACTCGAACCCTCGACCTCCCGCACAACAGTCTGGCGCTCTATCCATTGAGCTAAACGGGAGGCGGTATATTACTACTCCAGCAGGGAGTAGTAATACTCCTAGTCGCTTCATGCTACTTGGAAACTGGGATGAGCTACAGCTGGGTGACCAATAGGCTTGAGTTGATTTGGAGAGGTGAGGCGTTAGGTTTCACTCATGCAGAACTACTCTCCGTCCAGGAGTACAGATCGGAAACAACAAGTTGGTCATCAAGCTGTCAGGCAAACTGACGAGTATTGATTAAGTGGAATCCTATCCAGGGAGGGGGGGGGGAATTGAAAATACTTTCGTTCGCCACGAACACGGAGAGAGGTTTCGTGGAGCAGGTCACATGGTTTGTTTTGACAAATAACAGGGGGTGAAGTAGAACACATTTCTGATTACCGACATTGTCTTTGTTGTAGGTGGATTACCTTGGATTGATGGAGAATCTGCGAGTGAGGCGAGCTGGATTTGCCTTCAGGATGCATTACAAACGATTCCTTCAAAGGTGAGGCAATGAACGAAATTGCCTTTTAGTAAAATTCGCGCCGAGAAATTCCTCTAAAAAAAAAATCTTGGACGTTTCCAAGTTTAAATTCAACAGCAGGACCTTAAATAGACCAAATGTGCTACTTTTGTCAACCTGTCAAACTTAAAATTGTAGTCGTACTGTTCAAAAGCCAGTACATTCACTAAGATTTAACCCCTGTAATATTTTACGGTAGGTATAAAATGCTTGTAGACAAAACTTGGCCTATCTACAGAGGGATCGACAAAGACGGTGTCGGTGAAATCATCAACCAGTCAGGTTTTTCCTCTGACGTCAAATACGGTCGGACCAAGCTGTTTATCAGGACACCCAAGACAGTGTTCGAGCTGGAGAAGATGCGAGCAGAGATTGTGCCCAACTTAGTGCGATTTCTTCAGAAGGTAAAGAGCAGTTTACAGTCAACAGGTGTAAGTTGTGTAAGTTGTGCAGGTTACAAGCACTGATAAAAGGCTAAACGGAATTTTTCATCCAATCTGAATAACACGCGTTGTGGGTCCGGAATTTTTCTTACTATTTAAATGATTATTATTGTTCGATGGTTTATTTTACAGCACTGGCGAGGTGGACTGGCCAGAATGCGTGCGAGGAAACTTCGTGCGATATACTTGGTTATGGATAACTTTAAGAGATACCAGCGTAGAAAGTTCGTATTACAACTTCGAGACGCCTACAGGTTAGAACAGTTCCTAATTCAAACTTCGTCAACGACCAACTGTCTCCATCTTGGTAAATATCCGTGCTATCTGAAACAACTAATCAAGCTAAGATCCACTGCTTACTCCCTAAGGGGCACGAATATTTTATCACTTCCTAAGCCGTTTACAACCACATACGGTCTAAATTCTTTTAGTTATTCATCAGTTAAGTATTGGAACTCCCTCCCTGACCACTGTAGAAAAACTGTAGACTATTGCGAATTTAAGAGCAAACTGTCAGCGCACAATTTCTGTTAATATTACATCTATATCACATATTATCATATTAACGATTATTATATTATTTTATTATGAATTATTTTTATCTTTTAACCTGTTCTTGCTGTAATTTTAAAGTAGTAATTAGGATCGGAGATACTAGCTTATAAGCTAATCTAAAATCCGAGGATAAATAAAGTTTCTGTATGTATGTATGTATGTACCAAGCCGTTATTTGGCTATTTTGCCGAAAAAAATTGGCGAATTTGTTCAAAGCCAAGTGTTACCATTTTCTTTTACTAAACAAATTCAGAACATTGTCCCGACAACTGGGGATGTGGATAAAGAGCCTGATCCATAGACTTTCGAAAGTAATTTTTGATATATCGTAAATTCCCTCTTAAGCCCCCCCCTCTAATAGGCCACTCCCCTATAATGATCCCCCTCTCTTTAGAGGAATAAATTTAAGCCCCCCCTCTATTAAGTCCTCCCACCCCTTCCCCTCCAAAAAGAAAAAATTAAAAATAACATTCCATGGTTGTAAATACGGTAAATTTATTCAAGTACTGCAATTTTAGTTTGTTATTTAATAATGGTGATTGATTGATTGGTGATTAATAATGGTGATTGATTGATTGATGTTATCACGTTGGCCACAGTAGAATACGGTATACGAAATTACAATTCTGTAAATGAAAAAATGTAAAATGAGAACAATATTTGAATAAGTACGGTACATCGTATCGTATTGTATCCTGGTGGTGAACATCGGGCTAAATTAATAAGCCTTACCCCTTTATTTAACCGCCCCCTCCCCTCTAATAAGCCACCCCCCTCCCAAACTACCTGAAATAAATAAGCTCCGGGGGAGGGGGCTTATTAGAGGATTTATGGTAATAGATATGTTTGTTCCGTCTCTTTGCAGTGGCTGTAAGCAGCGCAATGACTATGGCAAGTCCATCACCCAACCCACCCCCCCTTTGGCTTGCCAGGAATTCTCCTCCTTCTCCACGAAAATGTTTGAAAGGTGAGACGAACTTTGATAAATGATGCAGAAAATTTCCGTGAATCGACCAGAAGGTACCAAGGCAGTTGGTCGTTATTTTTTTCCTTGTTCTTTTCTTGAAGTGTTGGCAAAATCTTGGGTGAAATTAATGAGAGACGCAGACAAATGTGGGAAAATTGTGTGAAAGCAATTAGTCCAGACGCCCAATCCACACCTAGATTTAAGTTAGACTAAGTCATGCGTAGGCTCTCGATTCTGTTCTTCCTTGCTCTTCGGTCGGAACTTGGGATGCTTTCCTGAGTAGCAATCGATTATTGCGCCCAAATAATGCTGTTTACAGATTTAGACTCGAACGATTTTTTCTCAGTAGTTGTTATCTATTTCTCACGCTCGGTTTTGGAATTTTATTTTTATGTGTTTCTCAAAGGTGGTGGGCCTTTAAGGTGTTATCACGCATTCCAGATGAAGATCATGACGAGGTTATGTTGAAAGCTGCAGCATTTGATTGCTTGGGAGGAAAGCGAAAAAACTGGGCACTACAGACACGATGGCGTGGAAACTACCTCGCGGAGGTAACTGAGGAAACAATCTGTTTTCAGTGTTTCGTAGGGAGATATCGATATTTCTAAGTGGAGTTGCGAAGCTTTAGTTTATCAATTACTTTCTTAAGGCGAGTTCTGTGCTAGGTAGTATTTCTAGTAAAAAAAAAAAAAAAAAAAAAAACGGGGAAAATGTGAAAACCCTTGAGTAGCCACATTATTTTTCTCTCTTATTTGTTGTTATATTTTGTCTCTCAGACCGAAGAAAACTCCCAGTCGGAAGTGTTTAAAAGAAATGTTGTCAACAGATTCACGACTAAAGGAGAACAAGTGTTGTTCTCTTCTTTTGCCAAGAAGGTAACTTTGGTCACTTTGTAGTATTCATACCCCAGACGATATTCTTTGTAAAACCTGTCATAGATCTGTAATCCTGATTTATTGGGTAGTTTCTTTTCTTGACTTAACTGTGTGATTCTGTTTGCAGGTGAACATGAAATTTAAGGTGGCTGACCGCATTGTGGTGGTGACAACCTCAGCCATTATCAAGTTGGACAACAAGTACAAAGTCATGAAGACAATACCACTTGACAAGGTTAGTTTTAACAAATGGTAAACACCACAGCGTACACTATTGAGTTATGGATGCACGCGGGAGGTTGCTAAGCACGAAAGAAGCGTAAGAGTCGCTCGAGGCGATAGCCGAGAGCGACTCTAGCTTCTTGAGTGCTTAGCAAACCTGCCAAGTGCATCCATAACCCAATAGTGTACGCTCTGGTGTTTACCAATTGTTTTATAACATAACATTAACACATTGTAGCTAAAGAGTTCCCTTTTATTTAACAAATCTTACGTGACCAGAAAAAACAAGCGCGCGCGGAAAAATAGTCTTTGCATTTGCTCACGTCAGCAGCGTACACCCATGGGCAAATGGGGGACGCTAAATTGACCATTCAGAGCGCGCGCTTTACTTTGGTTAAGTTATAAAACTTCTTGTGCTAATTATTTCAGCAAGTTTTTTATCCTTCTGTTGTAAATTCTTTTGAATGGTAATTTGAGTCTATCATTAAGCAGATACATAACATAAGTTTGGCTGTTTGGTCAGTCGCTTAGTTAACAATAACTGACTAACCGACGGGAACGCTAAACATTTCACTGACTCACGGGGCTCGACGCTAACGGTAGCCAACTAGCCACAGAACAGTAGAAATTCAGTTTTGGCCAGCGGTTTTCGATTTCCACTCGTCAGTTTTGCAACTAAACAAACAGAAATTGTGGTAACATTTACGTTATCACTAGCCTTTTGGCTAGTAAGTTGAAAAGTTAGTGTCGAGCCCTGGACTCACTTGCGGACGGAAGATAAGAAAGATCGACTGAGTTTTACTGACCTACAGCCAGACTTACTGACTGACTGGCCTGCTGACTGATATTAATTGATTAATTGACTCATTGATTCTTCATTGGTGAATGAATTTTGATGGTTCACTAATTAATTGATTCTCTGACTGATTGATTTGTTAATTGATTTACAGGTGACTGGAGTAACTCTTACTCCAGGTGACGATCAGCTTTTAGTAATTCACCTTCAACACAATGACTTGGTCATCTGCTTGTTCAACGAGTCCAAAGCCAACAGGGTGGCAGAACTTATGGCAAACCTTTACCTGCAGATATACGAGTAAGTACCTGTTCTCTGTTTTGCCTTTGACTGAACCGTGTGAAGTCATTGTTGATTCAGTTAAAGTTACATTGAAAACACGTTTCTTTTTTATGTATCGTCTTTGCTCTCTCTCTCTCTCTCTGTAACATGCTGGTCATGTAGTTAGGAAACTAGATTCCAGACCAAGAGGCTTCAAGCCCCGGCCGAGGCATGTTGTTTGTGCTTTGGAAACTTTACTCTCGCAGTGCCTTTTATCACCAAGACATGTAAATGATACCGCTGAAGTGTCAGATAACCCCGACGAAATGCTGGTAGTAACCTGAAATGGACTAGCATCCCAACCAGTTACATTGTTCGACTAGTTAGTTCTATTTAGAATGTATTACTTACTAACTTTAGTTTTGAGGGCCACTGGTTTATCAGCGCAAGCTGTTATGTGTATACCCTCTTTAAATAAAGTCGATTATTATTATTATTATTATTATTATTATTATTATTACCAGGGGGGAGTAGCAGTAACAATCACCGCCTAAGACAGTAATGGGCCAGTTGAGCCCATTTGACGTCTTTGTTTGCCATCATCACCTTTTATGCCCCAAGTTTATTTACCCCCGAAATAGCATGAAGAATTTGTAAATAATTTTTTGAGGTGAGAGTAACGGGATCTTTTGAAAAATGCTGGAATGTTATCAAAGAAAACAGGAGTATCTATTTATCGCCATAAGAAGATAAGCAAACCAAAAAGATGTTAAGGTTTAGAATTTCGTGATTTGTTTTTGTCCACAGTAAGTCTGGTAAGATGTTGAATGTTCGTGTAGACTCACAAGTAAAATGCGAACTGGGTAAGAAAGCAGTCAACTTGACCGTGAAAAACGGACCCGCAAACTCTGCCATGACGTTCAAGAGGGTTGGTAACAACGATCTGACACTACTTTGGCCGGAATCTGGGTAAAGCTTGGCGGGTAAAGCTTAACGGATGAAGTTAATTGATGTTGCATTTGTTGTTATTTGGCCATGCCGATATGAGTAGTTAACGATTAAACTTTGGCAAACTCGTGTAGATGTTGTGATCTTCGTGAAAAAAGAAGCAGACACAGAAAAACTCATGCACGTGAACAGGCATCTGTCATAAGATTTTCGTAAAACTTTATCTGTTGGTCTTTTTAATGAAAAAAAAAGAACAATTTTGTGCTAAAAAAAAGGTTCATCATACAGTTTAGGAAAAGCAGGAACTTGCATGTAACTTATAATTCTCTGGATATCTCCTATTTACGTTTTCTGAAGCCTTTTTTCGTATTCAGTACTAGAAGTTGATCTATGTATATTTTTCAAAAGAAATTTATAGCAATTAAAAAAGAGAAGGGGGAAAATAACAAGCCACTACATACCATCACCAGAAAATTATCACTTCCATAGCCTGTTCCAATTCCTTGGTCAACTAGCGAGAAAAATGCAGCGGTTGACTAAGAAACACCAACCTTTCCCTAGCGCGTACCCTCCTTTTTTTCTCCCAAATTTTTCGAGCTTTTTTAGCGACTGATGGAATGGCGCAGGCTACTACAGTAGTAGCATTTCTGGCAGACGCCAGTGATCCATGAAAATTATGCGCATTGTTCATGCGAAAGATTATGAAACGATTTACCACTCTAGAAGATGGAAAGTATTCAAAAGGAATAACGAGTCATTTTATTGTACTTCATGCTCTAATAATTATACTTATGACAAATTTCAATATGTGTAAGAATTTTCAGACATCGTGATGAATTTTGGAAGTTTGCTGGTTCAATTTGCATGTACAACTCTCATGAGGAAGGGTATGAAAAGAAATTAAAATTGATATCTAAATAAATGCTCTTGTACCGTCAAACAAAAACCAAAACCATTCGGAGGTTTGTAAAAAAATTTTTTTACTATTAATTAGCCTTGTTGTGTCGCCTCGCGTCGCGTCGTGGACTGGGAAAGTCAAGTACGGCCATTAATTTTAAATTAAAAATAATCTCGTCTTATAGATTTGCCTTTTTACAGGAAAAAATCACAAAAGGTACATTTAAGTTAAATTTAATTGTTAGATTTAAGGTAACTTTATATGTGCTTCAATATCTGTTAGTAAGCTGGACTTATTAATGAGCAGACCGTTACAAATTTTAATAAAACTGTAATTTTCTGCATCGTGTTGTTTAATCTTGTTTTGCTTCTTTTTTTCCGACAGTTTTGTCTTCAAACTTAAGTGCTATTTTCAGCCTTGATTTCGAGTAAGGGCAGCGTTTGACGTCGAGGTAGTTATTACGGTCACTAAAGACGTCCGTCATTCATTCAAGAATCTTAAAGACAAGATAATTGTGAGGAAAGAACGTAAAGAATTCTTTAAATTCGTCTAAAAATCGACATGATAACTGATCCACTTGGCGTACTTAAAAATTGCAACAACAAATAACTTATGAACAATACAATATAAGAAAAGAAGTATGCCGAAGAGATATCCCTTGTTTATTCTTCATTAGAGCAATTTTCATTGGCATAAGGTATTTCGTGGACTGGACTGGACTGGACTGGACTGGACTGGACTGGATTAGTTAAAACGTGGACTAGTAAAACGAGGAATTGTAAAACGCAGACCTAATTTTTTTCATGTTTTTCCTTGTTTGTAAATCGAATAAAACTTAACAGTAACGGACTTAACAACAACAAAACAAAAAAAAAAACAATTTCATACGAAGGCGATCACAAGACTTAATGGCGAGCCAATTTTGATGTTATGCCAATTTATTTCGACGGTTTAGTGAGGGACAATCCCTGTTTGACCTTCAAGCTACAAATGGGTTTGACATGCGCCAGATACAAACGATTTTATATGTTTAGGCTAAGAGAGAATTTTATTCAGCACCAGTTTAAAATCCTAATTTTGTTTCATCGAATCATTCAGCAGCCAGTTGAATAATTTCTTTCATGTTTTTTCATGTTTGTAAATCGAACAAAACTAAACGATAACGGACATAACAAAAAAAAAATTCATACAAAGACACAAGACTTAATGGCGAGTAAATAGTTGTATCCAGAAATGAACGTGATTGTATTGTGGGTCATAGCAATAAAAACTGCATTACTTTGGAGAGGCGAGCCGACAATTTTCGTTTCCTAACGCAACTAAGTTAAGACAATTTTACTCAACTAACAATCCGATATGCTACACAAATCTCTGAACAGTCCAGAAATACGAACAGTTCAGAAGTTCCCAATACGGACCGACCTATGCTGGTGAATGACATTTTTATTTTTTTCTAACACATAAAAACATAGGCATGCTACGCATGCAGGAGTTATTTTTAAGATATGTGGGTTGAAATGGGACACTTAATAACTGATGCTGATGTCTGAATAGTTGTTGGCAATAATAACTTGCGTTGACACCACGCTTCCTGCAGTCCCCTCAAAAGCCCTAATTTGAACTCGTCAAGCAACGCTCTCTCTCTAACGTTGCGTGACGAGACCAAACGTCGTCGTTGGCTCCCCTTCTGTA